ATATATATAGATAAGATCTCATATTTATTAGAATAGATCTCATAATTACGAGGTACAGATCTCGCAATTATGAGATAAGCTGTCTGATTTTTTTTTTCTTTGGTGAATGCAATATGCTTCTGTAACAATGAAATACAACAAACAAAAACAATTATCTGAAAATTGCTTTCAATCAGTCATAGCCTCTTAATCCATGCTGGTCAGATCGTTTGAAAAAGGAAGCAAAGGAGGAAATCAGAAGAAAGCGTTATGAAACTCTATTGGTTAAGCTTTAAAAGGGTTAATAGCATCAGAAGACTGGTTCGTAATGGAGCCTGGGAGGTGAATGAAGACAGACAACAAATATGAAGTTTTAAATTGAAAATATATAAATTTTCAAAACAAACATAAACAATATTAACAGTCAGAAGAGGACAAAATAGAATAAACAATTAGCAATGAAAAGTTTAATACTTTCACTCCTTCACAAGTCCAAAAGATCCTTAAATTGGGATTCATTGGGGGTTTCATGGGGTTCATTTATAATCATCATTATTAGATTGATGATTCAATTACTTTCAATTTAGGTTCTGTATACAAAATAAGCCACGGATCCCAAAAACTGTTTCAAATTAAATAAAACCAACAAAATCATCAGAACTTTGTGATTAGTTAATAATTTGGACTGTTATCTAAAACAAGCCCCATAACCCCTTACATTTTAAGGAAAACTCTTAAGTCAAACATTAAAAATTAGCCAACAATTAGCCAAAAACGCTATGAAGTTCCTGGTCACAATAAAAAACCTCACTTAATTAAAACACAATGCCTCCGATGTAAACACTAAAATAAATGACCTATTGCTGAAATAATATTGTTCCTCGCATATTTTTCTGTTCTACAGAGCAGTAAATACCAGATCCGGCAAAATAAAATGTTGCAAATACAGTTGCCATCCGCTCTGGGCACAGGAGAGCTGCGCCTCAGATGGTCCTATGGTTGTGTATTGCGGAGGAGCTACTGCGCATGAACAACTTTTAACCAAAGTCTATGGGCAAAGATGTTTGCGCCCCCAAGGTCGGAAATAGGTCACCAATCTGACGATGAACGAAACAGCTTTATACCTCATTAAAAATGTAATATTTATCTTGCACATCTAAAAAGTATATTTTCAAATATTGTAATTTTGTACATCTTAAAGGAATAGTACACCCAAAACATGA